AAACCTTTTCACTTTTAATTTTATAATAAAACATGTATTTAAATTAATTGATATTATAATGGGATAAACTATCATTTCATACTTACGTTATAGACATAATGCAAAAAAAAGTACTCAATATAGTATCCGGCCGATGGATCGATCCAAATGGGAAGTTATTCCAAAAGTTGATTCGTGAAGGTTACAGATACGCTGATAGACTTTCAGATTATTTAGAGGATATTGGAACTATGTATATCGGTGAATTTGTATTAGATCCCCTAGTCGACTTCTACTATCCAGCCTTAATTCCGCCTTTATCTGTCTTAGCAATTAGAGCAGATATTTGTGAAAAATTTATTATTAGTGTGGAGTCTACTGATATAGGAGGAATGAGTCTATTTACTCTGAAAAAAAATAAACAATCTTCGCTTCAGAATCTAATCCAAATGAACTATTCCATTGATAACTTGACTACGTTAATAGGAATAACTTGGGAGCAAGAAGAGATGAAAACTTGGAGGAACGACGTGCTTATGAAATTCCTCTATCATTCAAATTTGGTTCCTTCGAAGCATAGACCGGATGCATTATATGATGCATTTACTAAGACAAGTGTTTTAGGGCCAGAATATATATTGGCTCTAGCGCAAATTTAAGGCGTGAATACGATACAAATTTATTCATAGTCACGGAACTCCTATTCCATAACTATGTATTTTTTTCGCATATCCTATCTACCTGTAATTTTCAAATCAATGTAAAACTTCCCAGCCAGAGCTCATGGCCTCATAGAAAGCCCGCAATAAGTTATAATATTCTTTTGCCCACTGACCATGGATGTCAGAACCATTATTTATTTTTTTTTCGAATTGAACTTTATCAGATATAGAAATACCTAACAGTTACACATAATCTAGTAGTTACTCCACAACCTATATTCACATAATCATGTCCGCAATTATAACAAAGTACGTTGCAGAGCACAAACTCAGTAAAGATATGAGTGATGAAGAACTTAGTCAGCACGCTTCAGAATTACTCGAGCTTTTGACAGATAAACTGAAAAGAGACAAGGGTCGTCAGTGCTTCCAAAAAGAATATAATTTTAGCAGAGAGCAGGCATTTGTATTAATCCTCAATCAGAGAATTTGCCAAAGCAGAAGTCGGGAAATTCCCAAAGAAGGAGGAGATGTTAATATATGTCAAGTATCTGATATCATCTCAGATGGAGAAACCATCAAAAGTATAGCCCAGCGCATTGTTCGAGATAATCTTGGTGAAAAAGAAGTAAAGGTTATAGCCAAGGCTTTAATTGTTCCTAACCCTGTCACCACCACATCCCGTCTTAGTAGGCTTCGAAGAGAATTGCGAAAACTCAATGCCTCAGAAAAAATAATCTCTGCTACATTAGATGAAGAAACAACTTGCGCATCTAATAAGATTCAAAAGGAGCATAGGGATCAACGTGAAAATGAAGGGATTGATTTTTCAGATCACTTCTAGTTAGAATCAGTTAAGGAGAGACTCGATTTGTATGACGTATCTAAGACACCTACTGTGCAAACCCTAGCCGATGTAATGATAATGCTCTGCATCCGTCCCGCCGAAATTAAAGACTTGCGCATATCTAATGGAAGTGTAACTGAATATGCAAAAAACTGAGGCCAACAGGATAATCCTCGGATATTTAGATCGTTAGAAAGAGATGAAAAGCGGGCTAAACTTCTCCTTACTTGGATTCAGGATGCAATTTCTTCTGGACAGTTGAGGGATCCAGGAGTGCCAGGA